TTGGGAGGATAAATGCTTTCTATTTTTTTTCCTCCCCCTCCTTCTGCCTGCTGCATCTGACTGTCAGCATTCCTGTGCCTTTATCTATGCACTATTTAGGATGTCCATATAAAGTTGCTAAATGGAATTTTTATTGGCCAGCTTGGCTTAATAATCAAACAGTTTCCAGGCTGGTTCTGTCTAGTGCTGTGTGGATCCATTCAGAGAAAGAGGACTCATGGTGGTTTTTTCTTTCCACAGACTTTTTGTTGAGGATATTGCTTAGTCTAACGTTAAGTTTTGTTTAATTGCTGGAAAGGCAAACAGTCTACTTAGCTAGATTAAGTGAGGCCTGAGTCATATTGGTCTGGAACATCAGCATCTTAATTGGAAATTGGTGTATTGTATCAGCGTGTCGTGCAGAAAACCACAAAACATGTAGTGCAAGTGGCCCTTGAAACTTAACACCAAAACAAAAAAAAAGCAAGCAGGATATTGTGATTGTGTAGCAAATAACGTTTGAACAAAATGTAACTTTGAGCTTGAAATAATGATCATCTTTTATAATCAGAAATTGCCTAAAATTCCTGATGGTTGACTAAATTCCAGCAATGGAAATCAGTTAAGCTGTTACGATTTGTACCTTCTGAGTGGGTGAAAGCGTTCCCGTGTTGAACTAAATAATTTTTCATCCGTACCAAATTGTTGACTTTCAGTTCTTTTGTCCCCAGACTAAGTGGTCATGCCTGCATTTAATGTGCCTTAATTACCAAAGACAATAAAAGTTAAAAACGTAAACGGTCTATAAATCCTCTTTAAGATAGATGCAATTGCTTTATGAATCACCAAGCAAGAACTCTCTGGACTTGGGTGGTTACTACTTTGCTAGATACTACTCTTGTTTGCGAAGCAGGGTTGCTTGAACCCTAGCCTAGGAGGCGATTGCATGAATTTGCTGTTGCTCAGGGAATGTCTGTTCAAAATACAAATTACAGTGTATCATCACCCGCCCAGGTTTTTATTGGTGCCCCTGAAGCTTTCAGTGAAGCTGGGAGACAAATTGCATCTCAGGAATTTACTGTAGTTTTCTAAATGTTTATCATCGTTCTGTTCTCTGCCTGAGGTAGGGAAGAAGGGTCGTGGCAGGCTCAGAGCGAGGGGAGCTCCAGGTCGCACAGGCAGGCGGGAGGCTGCTCTGGCCTCACCTGTGCTGGGGATTTGCTTGCAAAATGTCCTCTTTGTTTCAGGTAACGACAGAGATGCTTTAAGTGTCTTTGTCTGCATGTGTCCAACATTACAACATGACCAGAGGCCAGGCCGGTCACCAGCTTTGAAGCTTGTCAGCTGAAGACCAGATATTGGTCTGACACTGGTCAAGATCAGACCGTTCAATCAAATCATTGCAGAGTCTCAGCATTGGTACCCTCTGCCCCTGTCTACAGCTTTACTACCAAGCATTGACTTGGAAAGATGTAGTTTAACCCTTATTCATCTATATTTCCATCTGAGACAGATGGAAAAACTCAGTATAGGGCAGCTCTCTATATTTCAGCCGTATGTTTTGGGCTGAGCTGGTCGCAGTCTGTCTTGGGAACTGGGAATACAGTTTGTTTCGGTCACACTTGCAGCCACGTTTCTTTACAGATTTAGGTACTGGAGTAAGAATGATCTGTTACTGACTTAGTTGTAGCAGAAAATTGTCAGCCTGTGCCTGCTAGTGCTGGTGAGTCAGCGATGCAGGATTCAGAGATGATCTATGTGTTGGAGCCTTGAGTGACTTTGCCCTCTTTGATGCCAGGGAGACTTCAGCTTTCTTCAGGTTAGGTCACTGTTACTCACTTTATTTTACAAAGGGATCTTGTTTTCCAGCATCCAAATACTGATTCTTTAGGGCTTTTTTTTTTTTTTTTCCTGGAATTGTTATAATTGCAGGGCTTAGATTATAATTCGCCATTTCAGGAGTTTTGCTGGTAGTGATGGTGGAAAATATAGGGTAAACGAAGTTTGGAAGGTATTTTTCGAGGGGAAAAATATAATTCAAGCAGTTTGGTGCTATAAAAGTATGAGTATCTGAATGCTCTCCATGCTATAGCAATGAATTACAGGTACCATTAGCCACAAAGCAATGAATTTGCTGGAATAAGTTGTAAGGAGAACGAATTTTTCAAAATCAATACCAAAATATTTATATATGAAGGAATTGCGAGGAATTAGGACCAAATTCTCACTGACAGAGTTCCACAGAGAGGGAAATAAACTGTATATTTTCTGAAGCTTGGCTGGAAGCAATCTTGTTTTCATAACAATTCTGTATAGTAACTGGAGTTAAACATTCAGAGGTCAAGGGGAAAGCAGTTAGCATAAAATACTATTTTGATTGAGGGTTTTCATGGTGTAAACTGAGTTCCAGGGCTTACATCAGATGACCCATATATCTTTCATCAAAGCGTTTTATTTCCTCTTTGAATTTCCATTTAATATTAACTCTATCTCCACTACTGGAGGTTTCTTTTTTACCAGTGGACAGAACCTGTTTCCAACTCCATCCAAGCTTTATCAGTCCCGTCAGGAGAGAGGTGTGCGGTGCCCACTGTCTTCCAGGTTGCAGTATTGTGCCAATCCCCTGCAAGTGGTTGGAAGATGCGTGCTGCAAAGTTTTTGAGTACTTGGTGCTAGTTTGAAAGGAACAACGGCTGATGGTTTTGTGCCCATTGTTTTCTTTTGTCTCATTGGACACTACAAATAAGCAAATTGAAGTGACCAAAGAGTAGGAGTGTATCAGTGCACAAAGGGGTCCTAAAAAACCTGCTCGCTCCTGAGATGCTCGCTGAATGGCTGGCAGTGCTTCTGGTTCTACCATTGCCTTCCTCTATAGCATAGCTCATGCCACTTAATTTCTCTGTCCCTGTTACCCCATCTGAGTACAGTCATAGATATATTTTACTCTCTTGGATGCCCATGGTCTCAAATCATAAATTAATTTTCTGTAAGGATAAATTAGCCTCATATTTGCATGAGAATGATCTGTAAGTGCAAGAGATGCTTGGCTGTGTAAATCTGTTTGAGGCAATGAACTATATCACTCTATAGCTGGTGAAATCTAACCTTGAACTGAACAATTTAGCAGGCAAGTACTTCATACAACATAGATACATGTGTACAACATAGATACATGTGTACAACATAGATACATGTGTACAACATATACACAGGTACATAGTACAACAGACATGGTGCTTAGGGACATAGTTTAGTGGTGGATTTGGTAGTGCTAGGTTAACAGTTGGACTCGATGATCTTAAAGGTCTTTTCCAACCTAAACAATTTTATGGTTCTATGAGAGAAAACCAGTTCTGAGCCTGATCTTTTTATGCTAATGCAATAGTATTGGTTATGTGGGGAGATACGTATCTCTCTCTGAAAATTTCCAAGTGAACAATATTAGTGTGTATCAGTGGGAATATTAGAAAGTCTCTTGAGTTAAAGTGTGGAAGACCTCAATTTCAGGACTGTGGTTTACAAAATCCACTTTTGTTGTCCAGCAATCTTCAAAGGAAGGTCATGATTGTCGTTTTTGTTTACTTATGCGCAAAGAGATGGGTTAAGATCTATGTATGTTTCCAATGCTTAATTTGGTACTTTGCATGATTTGTTCTCCCCTGTCCCCATGCCCTAAGCCACTTGCTGGATTCAAGGGTCATTTCCTGTTTGCAGAACTCCTATTGACATCAGTAGGAGCGTTGTGCAATCATTTGGGGCTTCAATACGGCCTCTCTTGTCCTTTTTTTTTTAATCTCCTGTAGCCAGCTGAATAAGCATAATTATCCTTGCGTTCTAGTGATATGGTCTGTACTCAACGCAGGCAACTGGAAGAACTGGGATTCCCAAAAGGGAATCTGCCTGAAACACGGTCCCTTTCTGACACGTCTGCTGTCATAAGTCTTCTGTTTCTAGATCCAGGAATGTAGCATTTTTTGTCTCTGCCGGTAGCAACTGCTTAGAGGGAAATATATCTGCTTTGCAGTTTTGCACAGGGCCAGTTTCATGGAGATACTGGTTGAGCCAGAAAACCCAAACTGATCTCCTTCTTGATGCCTGTCTTGTACCCTGTACGTTTTTCAGTAGAAGAGAGGATAGCAAGATGAACAAGAAAAACTAGCTGTAAGGTATACATGTGCTCCATTTATCCTAATGATCCTGTCCTGCCTCTGCACCAGCTGTAGGTTTATTGTAAAGTATTTGTGTTATACAATGAGCTTTTGTGCTGTCTTAGCCATTTGTGCATAAGGTATTGAGACATCAGTCTCCTTTGTCAGCTGTGGAGGAAGATGTTTTTTTATAAACCAGTTAGCTAAATTCTACTGACCTGGCTAAATACCTTATGCTGAGGGGGGTGGTGGTGGGGTGCTGGAATATGAATTTCCTTCCTGGAGTTGGTCCTTGCACATGCTGTAATACCCGTTGCTGCTTCCACACGCATGTCTGAAGGAGTATTTCTGCCCTGGGCATCCATGTTCAAGGCCTTATGAAAGAAATCTTGTATTTCTGGTTCACCAAAACACTTACAGGCCTGACTGCTCTTTGAAGAAGGCAGGATTTTGCCCATGTTGCTATCCTCTGCAGAATATTGCCTAGAGCCTGTTGTGCCAGCAGCTCGTCGTCCAACCTTCACTTTAGCAGAAGGGACATATGAAGGCAGCACTGTTTCAGCCACGTGACATGGGGGGACAACTGCCTCAAACTCCTTGGTGACTTTTGAAGGGTGACCAGAAAACTGTGGCAGTCCTGGGAGACAATGATCGATACCTGACTGAGAGCTTTTAGCAGCCAAAAGACAAACCTTCCTTTCAGATTTCTGCTGTGCTTTAGCACCTACTCGATTACTGGGGCAAATGCATTATGTTACCCAAAATGAGCTTTCCCTGATCAAACGTATGCTTTATTAGCCACATAAATGCCAGCATGACTCTCTCATTGCTACAACATATTAAACACCTTGGAAATGTTTCCTTAAACTCTAGGTCAGTCTTATGAAATCCGTCTACTTGAGAATAGGAAATTGGGAGAGTTTCAAGATTTAAACACAAAATATGTAAAGGTAAGGAGAAACATAGATTTCTTTTCTTCCTGCTACTACATACAGCCTCTAATGAAGGGCCTGACCTTGCTTACACTGAGACAATGGAAAGTACTTTGCCATTGTTTTTAATGGGAGCAGGGCTGATGGAGCTGTTGAGTGCTAGTTTCATGGGACTATGCAGCTTGGCTTTACAGGGCTTCAGGGAAACCTTTATTCTGTTTGTGATCATGACCCCAGAGTTTCCCTGTGAATATTGGGTTCAGGAGAATCCCAAAGTTCAGAGGTGAACATGGTCAATACCGCTGAGAGGCAGACTTGTGTCCCTTCTTAACCCCAGCAACACGCCTGGGTTCTTACACGTCAAATGGAGGACCCTGGTGTTTACATCGTTGTGCCATGCAGCTTCTGCAAAGCTCCAGTTTGGTTTGGTAATGAGCATAATTATGAACATACAGAACTTGGTTGTTTGTTTCTGGGGAATTTTTGTTGTTTCCTCCCTCCCAAAACAGTTCAAATTAAAGAACTTGGGTCTGGATCTCTGTTCCGGATCCAACTTTCAAGCTGTCCTTTCCCAAATTCTTGGTTGTTCTGCCTCAGGATTTCTTTTGAGAAGTGGGAACTAGTTGCAAAATTTGAATTCCAATCTGGATTTCAAATGTTGTCCAAATTTAGGCAGTTCCCTGTTTGTCTTTCGGGCCATTTCAGGAAGCATGTGGATTGGGATTCCAATTTTGCAGGCGTTCTCACTGTGGCTTGCTTGCTTCTTAGAGCTAGGAGATTTGGGCATTTCTCAGGTTCATTGACAAAAAATGCTCACTCTCATTTGATATAGAAGTCCTCACCAGGAGCATGGACTTGAGAAACTGGGAAGTAAGGAGTCATTGACTCATGCTAGCGTAGCACTCTCAATATATATTAGTTAGGTGTACTTTGGACTTGTCTGCCCTGGGGATTGCCCTTATTCCAGCCTTTTTTCTCCAGTTATTGACATGGCTGCACCATTGCAGGCTAGAGATGAAAATTCTGCTGTTACAGAGCTTTCCTATTCTACACTCATTTAACTGGGGCAAATCCATACCAATGACTGGCTGTCAATGGCTGGAATCAAGTTTAATTCCCACTGACAAGGTGTCTGGGCATGTCAGCTCCACCGGTGCAGGGACAGGTGAGCTGGCTTTCAAGTTTGCTAGTCAGAGTGGAATATACTGGGGTTGGGACATGGTACAGACACATTAAATATTACCCCTACGTGAGCCATTTTAGGTGTGGAGGCAGTATAGTGATGTTTACATGGCATGACACCTAAGATTGGGTGGACATTGCTATAGTGCTTCCAGACTGAATCCCAAAAAGCTGTACGGAGCTGTGTTACACAGCGTAGACATGCGCTGTAAAGGGGGAAGTGTGTTGCTCTCTCACTCAGGGATCCCTTATGATTTTGATAAACATGGTGATGGGTCTCTTAGGTGGACCCTCTACTCTCCTCATGAATGGGGGTGAGAAACATAACAGATCAGCTTTTGCTTCTACGCTGGAAAACCAAAGTCATCTCAAGAGAAGGGCCTCTGGATCACGTTGTTCATCTTGCTGTCTTTTCTTAACAGAGCATAATTCGTGTAGTTTTCCACGATCGACGCCTGCAGTACACAGAGCATCAGCAGCTTGAGGGCTGGAGGTGGAGTCGGCCTGGGGACCGCATCCTTGATATAGGTGAGACTATTTCATTATCGTTCCTGTGCAGTGTTTGGAAGTGAGATGCTGAATGATGTATGGAGTGTTTGCATGTGTGGGTTTTTTTTTTTTTTTATATCCTACACTTTTAGGAATCCTTTGTCTTTGGGTGGAAAGGAGATCTAGCACTATAGGTCCCAAATAGATGTATCATTGGTGGCTTGTCTTTTCACATGAATCTTGTAATTGTATGGAAATGCTTTCTCTCTTCAATTTAGTATTTTTAAAATTTTAGGTGTTTTCTTCTACAGATATTCCACTGTCAGTTGGTATCTTGGATCCCAGGGCCAGCCCAACCCAGTTGAACACTGTTGAATTTCTGTGGGATCCATCAAAGAGAGCCTCAGCATTTATTCAGGTAAGGGAGAATTGATATTCCTGTGCTAAATAAAAAGACCTGGAGAGTTAAGGTAGCCAGGACATGAAGAGAGAAAGATGCTAATGATAATATACAAACTCAAGTGACAATCATGTATTATTATATTCATTCATTCATAGATTCATAGATTTCTAGGTTGGAAAAGACCTTAGAGATCATCGAGTCCAACCGTCCCTAGTCCCCATTAAACCGTATCGCTAAGTAGATCATCCACCCTATTCTTAAACACATCCAGGAATGGGGACTCAATCACCTCCCTGGGCAGCCTATATTGTAGGATACTTGCTAAACCAACTTGCTAGCTATTTGCTAGCTTTGGAGTATCACCTGGTACATCTAGGATTTTCTTTTTTTAAAAAAAAAATAATGTTGCTTTCTAAGCATGGGCTTTGTCTGAAGGAAACTGTTCACAACCTGTTGGTTTAGCTTGCTTTCCTCTTTCATGAATATTTCTTGTCCCAAGTGCCAACTATCTGTTTTTATTCTGTATACAGATATGTATATATCTGTAATATTCTGTATATTCTGTATATACTGAAGTCAAAGGATGCTCTTCCTGATGCCCTGTTTCTTTCTTGATCTTCTAATGGTTTTGTCCTGAGGAATAAGAACGAAAACATGTGAACTCTTCTGCCTCTCTTAGTTTCTCAGGAGGAGCCAAAACCTTATGTTTAGGCAAAATCTGAAATACAGATTTGCATGGCTTCTAACTATCTCCAGAGATGAGCATAGCTTTTGTTTTGCCAGGTACATTGCATCAGCACAGAATTTACTCCACGGAAACATGGAGGAGAGAAAGGGGTGCCCTTCCGAGTGCAAATTGACACCTTTAAGCAGAATGAAAATGGTGAATACACAGAACACTTGCATTCTGCAAGCTGCCAGATCAAAGTGTTCAAGGTATGAGGTAGTTTTGACTTTGTCTTCAAATAGATTAAGACACAAGAACGTGCACAGCTTTTAAATTGTGTAGGAGTGATGCAAACAGTGGAATAAAAGAACAGACTTTTAACCGGGTATGCTTAAGATCTTGAACAGGACCCTTGTTCACAAAGTGACATGAACACTGAACTACGCAGCAATTCTTGTTCAATTCAAATGACCCAGGTGCTGCATCCAGATTTATGCCAGTCCATTGTGCCTTGAACACTATACAAATACTGGGATATTCAGAGTATCCACTGTGTTTTGGTACTCTTAGGAAATCAAGATGTTATGGCATCCTCAGTTTCTTTGATTCAATCCTCCATGAACAATTAGAGTATATCTTGGAGACCTTAAATACCCTTTGCTTGTTGCAGCGGAGTTCCTCTCCATGCTACCTGGAGGAGAGAAAGCATCTCTGAAGCTCCTAATCTGGTCATGGCAGACCTATAGCCACATAACAAGCTTTTCAAAAGGCTGTTTTCTCGAAGGATCTGCTGATTCAGTTTTGGTCCTGTGAGCAATGTCTTTCCTGTTCCTGGAGAGATGGTACAAATACCAGTTGAGGTGCATAACTCATGGGGGCATGGTCTGAAATAGTTGGTATCAAATCTCAGGACTGTGGTCAGCCTATTTTGGAATTATGATACGCATTAATGGGGAGATGTTATAGAAACAGTAGGGATGTTTGCCTAATTTTTTTTGTCTAGAAAATGCAGATCTGATTTGTGTGATATGTAGAGTCCCCATAAATCTTAAGGACACTTTTGTGAAGAGATTAGGAAAAAAAATCTGTTGGCCTCTGTCTCCAAACTTTTAATACTTGGCATAAGGGAAAGCTTATGCTTGTGCTTATAGCCTAAAGGAGCAGACAGAAAACAGAAGACTGACAGGGAAAAAATGGAGAAGAAGACCACCCAAGAGAAGGAGAAGTATCAGCCTTCCTATGAGACAACTATTCTCACAGAGGTAAAGTGTTTTAGACACATCATAGCACTTCAGCATGTTGGGAGAGAGATTTGATAGAAAATGCAGTCTAACTGAGCCCTGGAGATTGTCTCGTGGAGACATGTATGCCTAGATCTGGTTAAAATTGAGAGTAGAGTGAAATTATAAAATATTTCTCACTGTTGAAATTAATAAAAGATGCCAAAGTTTCTTATGTTTCAGGTTATAAACCAACCCTCAACAGCCTAGCTTTAAAAGAAATGTTTTTCATGTCTTCTGCTGTGCTCCCAGGCACTTGTCATGGCACTTAGATGCCAGTTGTATGAGGCATTTTCTTCAGAACTGTCTGGCAAAGGCTCATGTTGGAGATGGGACACTTGAACAGATGAATAGGCTGTCTGATTAAATTATTAATCTGTTTTTCTATGAACATGCCTATGAAGCTACTGTTACATACAAGATCTCAGAAGATTCTAGCTTGTGCTCTAGAAATATCTTGAATGTCTTTTACTCTCTTGCATCTGGTGTAGAGGTGTATTACTAAGATGTATATATAAGCTTCCCCGAGGCTGCAAAATTACTAAGCAACAGGGCTCAAGACAGTGGTTTAAAAGTGCTGTTCCATCTCCCTGTGGGAATGTCTTGTCATTTGATTTAGTTCTTGTTGTTTTTGAAGTGGCTTGCTGGACTTCCAAAAATGAGGGTTTTTTCTTAATTTAAATAAACTTCCTGTTTGTGAGATCCAGTCTCTCCCACTCAATTTTCCTCACGTTGCCAGGAGGGACCAGCGTGCTTTCTAATTCAACATGGTGGTTATTAACGAGGCTCTTGTGTACCCAGACCTAATTCTACTGAGTTGGCAGATCCCAAACTCTCCCTATGAGCTCTGATGCACTTTGACATATTGCATGGGGAAATGTGAGTTGCCAAAGAGTTAAATATTTGCTAGTATTTGTGGAGATGATAAAACTCCAAAGCTACACTTGTCGTCTTTTTATCATTGCAAACAAGGATACTACAGAGCATCTTCTTGAGCTCTTGAAGGCAGTGGCTTGAAGGGCTCTTGAAGGGGCTAGATTTCTCCTACTGATTACAGTGGCTTAAATTCAGAATAGTCACCAACTCTAGCTGGGTTACTCTGGTTACTACTGTAATGGAATATGGAGTTTGACCTATATTTGTGAAGGCTTTTAGTAGCTTTGTATCTGTCTATCTTAAATTTTCTCCATGTAATAACTATTTACAACTCAAGCTCTTCGCCAGAGGTTTTAGCAGGCTGGTTCAAATTCTGCTCTTTCACCGGTATAAACCTGAAGCAATGCCACTGGAGCATATTTGTCACTCTTGCCTGGATTTAATTATGGATTTATAATTGAAACCAGGGGTATTTCTGTGTCGTTGCTGCCTTCAGTCTGAGTTGACTTACTGGCATTGCTCTGACTTACAGCTGTGCACACTTTGGCCCAGTGTTATTTGGGGACAGGCTTTGTGAAATGGGAGAAATGTGGAATGCACAACTGGAATCAATCTGGCCCCCTGACAGCCCACTTGGAGAGCAGCGTAGAAAATCCATGGCCCATCTTCTCCTCCCAGCAGGAGTGATGAGCTGAACTTAGTGGCGTGGCAACAGCATGAATGTGGTATGAGAGGAGAATCAAATCCTTTATTTCCATCCTTATGAAAGTATCCCCGCTGCCTTTCTTCCAACAGTGCTCTCCCTGGCCAGATGTGCCTTATCAAATGAACAATGCTCCATCTCCAAGCTACAACAGTTCTCCCAACAGCTTCAACCTTGGAGATGGGTATGTAACAAGTAAATGCTTTATCTTTCCTGTTGATGTGGAAGCTTTTGTGTGCATGTGTTTTGTGTGTCCATGCATTTCATACTCTGGAAGAAGAGGTCGAGGACCACCCTTCCTAGAGAGGGGAAAATATTTCCCACAAAGCCTTTTATGACCTTCCATCCAGGAATTCCCTGTAATGCAGAGTACTCTCTGTATGTCCGCTGCTTATGTGATGGCTGGGAGGTGAGCATCAGAGGACTATCAGGGCAATTCCTGCCATGAATTTCCTCTCTACTCTTCTGTGGGGACCAAAGAACACACCATGCCCCATACTGGAAATTCCCAGTAGCTTCTGGTGAGAACATTAGAGACTTTCAGCCTTCAGCACCTCTTCAGAGTTGTTATTTCTTCCTTTCTGTCTTGAGGTAGTCTGAGGTGCTGAATTCCCAGTTGAATTGGATGTAAAGAAGTCCTGTCTGGGACAAAACAGCCTGAGTTTTGAGAAGCTATTCCAGAACAAAGAACTAACAGGAAGCATGTTTAGTTCAAAATATAGCCATCATAAAGGAATAGTTTTAGTGGTCCTGAAACACCCAAGATGATAGCTGATGACAGAAGTATTCAGCAGGGTCCTTTGGTTCTTCTGAGTCTTCCCTGCAGCATGCTTTCCCCTAGGAATTTGGCATAGGCCTTTCTTTTCCTCCTCTAGTACTCTGAAGCCTTGTCGCCTTTCCCTCACAGTGTATTAATTAATCAATGTTGTATCACAAATTTTCAATGAGTGACCTCAACCTATGAATAAGGACAGAGACTGAAATGATAAAAATTGGTGTTAGTAGAGAGATCTGTTGAGCGTTTTCTTCCAGGGGTATTAACTCTCTGGGAAAATCCTTAATGTGTTGAAGTCCTGTCTATGTTTTAGGGGGATTTAATAGAAATGTGGTTTTATGTAATACAGTTAAATTGCAATTTACCATGTTTAAGGTAACACCAGAGTTGAATTATAAGGTTCTTTATTCAGTTTTTGTGAAGAATTGTTATTAGACGGTGGATTTAGTTAGGGGATTTCTAAGTCACCTGTATAGAAAAGTTTGAATGAGGTCAGTACACTGAGTTTTTTCTCTCAAAACCTCAGCTGGACCTCAACTGACCAATAAAAGGCTCAAGAAGGGATTTTTTTTTTTAAATTCTTTTTCTTGGTCCAGATTTTGGACACCTTTTTAAAAAAAAAGCCAAGTTGGTACGTAACTTGTGATAGTTGAGTCAAATGTAGGAGGGGAAAGAGGATGGGCACTGCAATGTAAAATTTAAAATAATATTTTTTTTTTCTTTCAACTTTATATAATTTTTTTAGCAACAGTTCTCCAACCCACCAAGTGGAGCTCCTGCCTCCCAGCAATGATGTAAGTACTCAAGATCATGTTAATGTGGTGCTTTTCTTTTTTAGGACTCTGGTGAACAGTTCATTTCAAGACCTTCTTATTCTTTTTGCAATGTAGCATCTCCTTCCTTCTGCTTCTATTCAAGATGCCCAGCAGTGGCTTCATCGTAATAGGTTCTCTCCATTCTGTAGACTCTTCTCAAGTTTTTCGGGTGAGTTTAAACACTCCAATTATTTTGTCTTTATTCTCTTGTGTAAGCGCAGCTCATGCTTTATATCAATAGCATCTGCTGCTGGCCATCATTAATAAGATCATTGGTCTGATCCAGTGTGGTTGTTCTTTTGGTTTTAGACTAGTTAGCATTTGCCAGAACAGTTTGTAGAAACATAGAATAAGCAAAGATGGAAGAGACTAAGTTAAGATGGAAGGGACTTCTTGAGTTCATTAGGTGTAACCCTCCACTTGAAGCAAGTCCGGGGCCTTGTGCAGTTGCGCTTGAGTATGTTCAAGGTTGGAAATTCCACAATGTCTCTAGGTGACTTCTTCAAATACTTGACTACTCTCACAGTGAAAAAGTTTTTCCTTATACCTCATTTCCCATCTTCCATCTTCTGTCTGCTGCCTCTCATCCTGTCCATGTGCACCTTTGAGAAGAATCTGACTCTGCCTGCAACTCCATCTTCACTGGGTCCTCCCATTAGGTAGTTGTACACAGCAGTAAGATGGTGGAAGAGGGAGTTGTTAAAGATGTTGAAACCTTGAGGAGCCTCCCTCTGACTTGCAATGTGATTAAGTAGCTTGGTGAACATGGCATTTATAGAAAATTAGGCCATTTAATGGCCAATGTTAAATACCTAGCTTGTGTCTGAGTTGGCTAGTATATCGTCCAGTGCAGCACTGCTCTTTTGGCAGCTTCTAGCTCTCTGTTTCACAATGACTGATTTGCAGTGTGCACCTCTCTGAGTTTGCAACTTCTCTGGGCAAATCTGTCTGATGTAGCTTTGTGAATTCTCTCCCTCTGCCCTTTCCTGCTGTCCATACGCACAATCTGGAAGCTAAGATTTGCTTAACTTCTGAAAAAAAATCAATTTGAAATACGTAGGTGCTGACTTACTGAAGATGTCCAAAGAAGATTTTGTTCAAATCTGTGGGCCTGCTGATGGAATTCGGCTCTTTAATGCAATCAAAGGAAGGTTTGTACTTCTTCCTTCCTATTTTTTTTTTTGTTACGGTGGCATCCCTTGGTAATTTCAGTGATAACTAGAAGTTAATCCTGGAGCTGTAGCATTTAGACTTCCTTTTAACACTTCAGAGAGGTAATTTCAGAGACTGGAGATCACAGTGGTATTCAAATCCAAGCACAGCTCAGAAATGTTGCTGAAATGGAGCAGCATAGTGTGCATCTCCAGTGGCTTATATGCTACCAGCTGATAGCTTCCATCCACTTCATATGAGACACAGCCTACAATACCCTGTGTTGCATCTCCATCAGAAGTAACAAACAACAAACCAACCAACTAACTGCTGGAGCCTCAAATGACTCTTAAACTTACTTTTATTACAATAACATCATAAATCCTACAGTTGGGCAGCATTCAAATCAGTAAAGGCAGATATGATAAGCTGCTTGGCAAGTGCTGTAAACTGTTTATTCTTATCTGATCCTGAAGAGATTAAGTGCTCTGCACTGTACCACCACCTGGCAGGGGGCTCTTACTAGACCTCATAAGACATCTAGTCACCAGCATGAAGACTGTCCCTTAATTGGTTATTTATGCACAGCCTGAATGATTCCATCTCACTGTTTGGCAGCTGACTGGAACAATTTTAGATCTACTAAGTAACTCACTACTGTTTTTTAATAATTCATAGAAATGTAAGGCCCAAGATGACAATTTATGTCTGTCAAGAACCAGAGCAAAACAGGTCTCATCTCCACCAAAAACGAGAAAATGGAGATGGCAGTCTTTGTGGTAAGTTTGTATGCATGGATTTTGTTAAACTCTTATCTGATGAGAGTGCTGCTTTTTGCCTGAGCTCCTATGTGGGACAGCTTGGTGTCCTGAGTGTTTAAAGATGTCCTGTTTATCCCAGTTCTGCCACTTTGGTTAGTTTCAGGGCTACAGGATTGAACTGGTACTGTTGGCCTGGGGAACAAACCCAACTTACAAGCTATCTGCAGAACACCACAGCAAAATCTCTATTCAGTTCTTAATAGCGACTATAGCATTAAAAACTACCTTCCAATCCACAATTTGCTTTAGATTATGGCTTGCTTGAAAATGTTCTAGGAAATAGGAGGCTGATATATCTTAAAGTGAGTTTCTAATTCTTGGAAGTTCAAAGCTTTTGGGGACTCACTACTCTTAACTATACCTCATGACATGATGTACGATCAAATGAGACTAGAAATTGTCCTTAGTTCTTGAACAAAGTATTAGCCAGGCACAGCTTTTCTGCCTGGTTGTTTCTACCACTTGGATTGGATTTAAAAAATAACACTGTCATCTACAGTTATTTGGTACATCATAGTCTTTAGTTTGTGTCTATGGGATCAGTGGGATAACATTAATAACATACTACTTTTATGTAACATAATATCATATGTTTGACAATTTAATTTGATCTACTTTAAAATGTCAAAATCAGTAACAGTATTTTATCAAAAAAAAATTAGCATATTTATGAGAGGGTTTTTGTAGTGCCCATGATACATGTTGTCATTAGTCCCTGTGTTTTCCTCTGGGCAAAGTGACCTGTGCTTTATTTGCCCGCTGCATCCAAATACTGGGTATTTTTCTACAAATCATCAAACTGGGTATTTGGTGGCTGCTTTAAAGGTACTAAGCTCGTTTATTTCTTGTCAAGATTTGAACCTTGATTTTAAACCCATTTGGTTGTTGATATTGAGCATTTTGGTGTTATCCATAGTTGCTATTCTATAATAACTCTAGAATTCTGTAATTACTTTCAACTTGTTGCAGTATATCATGCAATCTTCTTGGAAGAATTGACCACGCTGGAATTAATCGAGAAAATTGCAAACTTGTACAGCATTTCTCCACAGCAGATAAATCGAATCTATCGGCAGGGACCCACAGGGATCCATGTATTAGTGAGCAATGAGGTAAGGGGTTAATGCAAACTCTGTCAGAGCTGTAACAGTTGTCTGACTTCTTGAGGTTAGAATGACCTTTTAAATTATGAAATGAATCTTCAAGGAAGCTTTGCAAAGTTACTAATCCCAACAAGTTAAAGCAAACACTTAAAGCAAATCATTCATGCATACCATTGATTTTGGTATGGTGTTAAGATCTTTGCTTTGTAAAAGAGTTGTGTTGTTTGTTTCTTTTAAACAAAACACAACAAAGCACAACAAAATTAGTCATTTCCTTTTCATGTTGGCTACTTAAACAAATTTTGAAGTGAGGATCTAAAGTGAGAACCTTTAAAATTAAATAGGAAAGTTTCCTAAAGAAGGCAAGTTTGAAAATCTGTAGGGCAATTAGTCTCACTTCTTGGCCAGTGATTACAGCCACTGGGTCAGTCAGCTCTGTGTAAGTGCACGCTATAATTTAATGGACCTCTGCTAGCTGTTTGTGTCCCATTATATGATGGATTAATTTAGTTTATTCCATTAACTTGCAGGTTAATAGTGAGTTGCCCTTCTTCCTCTTTTCCCCCCACTAAATTATTTACTCATTCATGCACCAGAATCACTTAAAGAGCTTCATTTATAAGAAACGTTGTTAAAGCAAATGAAGCAGAGCATAGGTCTCAACTGGAGCCTAAATTGAAGGCTGTAATGCATATTCCTGAAGTCTCCTTTCTATTTCAGCCTGATTAAATCTGAAACCTTGATGCTTTATGGATGTAAAGTGCTTGGAGGCAACTCTTGGTAGGGGAATTGCCTGAACCAGCTTGGGTATAAGGCTTTAAGTATTTATTTAAGTCAATTATTAACAATGTCTATTGGTTTTTTAATATTTTTTTTTTCTTGTTCTAGTACTATAGTGGCAAGAGTGAGGCGCTATATGAACGTACTGCATGCATCATTAGGCACAGACACACAGACTAGCTAGTGAAGTTTGATTTGCAGGAGCAGGGGGTGGATGCTAAGCCCAAAAGAGAATAGGGAGATTAGTCTAAGTTGAAAAGGATATTTGGTGTGAGAACTTAGAGCTGGAATGTGCTCTACTTGAATGATATTCAATAGCTAGGAGAAGACTTTTGCATAAATCTGGATTTTTCTGGGCTGATCAGAGAGATTCTGATCACCTCCTCTCTGAAGTTAGGTGTCCAGCATCTGCTTCAACTGTATGAGACTCCTCCTGAACGTAATTAACTTCCTCTGTCCCACACAGCTACTCTAAGATGAGAAGACGCATTGACAAAGAATGAAGCTTAAATGAGCATTTCAGATTGGATCTGAAGTCAGCTAAATCTCTTAACTCACCTTGTTAGTTAGGGGCCTCACTAGAACCTGCACGTGTTCTGAAAATCTAGTTATTTCTCATGAATAACTCAAATAGCTTTAGATACCGATCTTGCTTCCCATGATCTGCCTTGCCTCTCATAGCAGTTTAATTAAGATTCCTGTGCCTCAGCAAAATATGAACAGGTAAATGATTCCTGCAAGCACAGCATCTATACTACTGTCTGGTCAAAAGAACCAGGTGAACGCTGCTGAGATGACGTTTCAGTAGCAATATTCCTTTGTGTGGCAAGGAGTCTGTTTCTCAGGGCTGACGACCTCTAGATACTATTTCAGATGCTGAAGTAAGCTCAACTGAGCTTCATCGTTCAGATGAATGTGTATCATAGAATGATTTGGGTTGGAAAGGACCTTAAAGATCATCTAGTTCCAACCCCTCTGCCATGGGCAGAAACACCTTCCCCTAGATCAAGTTGCTCAAAGCCTCATCCAAACCAGCCTTCAACACTTCCAGGAATGGGGCATCCACAGCTCTTCCAGTGCCTCACCACCCTGATAGTGAAGAACCATTGTTTCCGTTGTTAGATTTTAGGAGAGGAACTGTCTTCATCCTGTCTAAACTAGTATAGCTTCACTGAAGACAATTAAGAGCTTGTTTTTTAATAGACTAATTGGAGCAGTATAAGAACTTACAGGATCAACAGCTGCAAAGAGGATGGTAAAATGCTGAACAAGGTAGATCAGTTCCAGGCAAGCGTGTTAGTATGAGCTTCTCTTAAGCACATTAGCAGCTGCAAGGATCTTAATGAATCAGTCATGTACTTTAATAATCCTATGAGCAGGGTTACTCAGGACTGTGTAGGACTGGACACCAAATTGTGTTTGATACCTCTGACCTAAAGTCTGTACTGTCACTGAAAGAAACTTAAATTTGATTTCTAAAAATATTTTGTGTTGCCTTTTTTCCTTCTGCCCTTCAGATGGTGCAAAACTTCCAAGATGAATCTTGTTTTGTTATCAGCACATTAAAAGGTATGTATTGCTGCCACTATTACATGCAGCTCTAAAGATAATTTCTCCTTTCGCTTGCACCAAACATTATCACAAACTCGGTGCTGTTATCCTGAGAAGATAAGTAGTCTAATTCAGTGTAAGTCAAGGTGTTGCATCAGCTTACACTGTGATAGACTGATTGATCCATGCTTTCCTCAATTACACCGTTATAAAACTTCCATAAATCCATTGATGCCACTGACACAAATGAGCAGAAAACGATCTAGTAAAATGATAAAGATAACAGCTATTATCTTGTATTTTTTTATGTAAATACATTGACCTACACATTCAACATTGATTTTCATGTGTGGGTTGTGGAACAAAAGTACAAACTATTGCAAACTACCTAAGAAGAAAGTCTGGAGTTCTGTATCGGTGCTGTTTTCTAAAAGCAATGAAAAAATGCTTTTCATTTCTTTTTTTACAGCTGAAAGCAATGATGGCTACCACATCATTTTAAAATGACCGTGCTGCACAGAAAGACTTTTAACAGCCTAAAATTTAGTGCCTCACTGAGATTGCTACAACCTAGACTGGAAACATGAAGAACCTTCTGGTTAAAATGCTCCTGTGAACTAAGAATCACCAAACAGCTTAAGGAAAAACTTACTTTTACAGATATACATTTCTGGTGATGTGTGGTTTTGTTTTTTTCTTTTAAGCTGGAGCTGAGAACATCCTCAAAGCTTGTACATGTTTCTTCCTCCTTCCTCTCCTCTTCAGTCTTAAAAATTGTCGAGGTTTCTGCTTATTACTTAGAAACATCTGCCTTGTACTAAAGGGAAATGAAAGATAAACAAAACCCAATTCTCTAGACCCCTCATGGTTGGGTGAATAGATTTATTTACTGTTCTGAATGCTCTCTTGCTTTCAACACACACCCTGTTGCTGATGGACATAGGCTCCCTGGGGCTCCTTTTTTACTTTTTGAGGTGGAAGGCTTGGGGCTACATCCAAAACCAGACTGGGCAAGGCAGTGGATGGATTTGGTGCCCAGTTCTCACCCATGACATCAACACTGGAAGCTTGCTTTTA